TATAAATGGAATCATACAGTCTGTGGCCTTTATGTCTGGCTTCTTTCATTTAGCATAATGTTTTCAAGTTTCATCCATGCTGTAGCACATAGCAGTACTTTATGTATTTTTGTGGGGGGCTGAATAATATTGAGTTGTATGTGTACATCACATTTTGTTTATCCATTCACCTAGAGATGGAAATTTGGGTTGTATCTACCTTTTTGCTCCTATAATTAGTGCTGAAATGAATATTCATAGACAAGTTTTTGTTTGAACACCTGTTTTCAATTCTCTTGAGTATATACTTAGGAGTAGAATTGCTGGGTCATATGGTAATTCTATTTTTCACTTTTTGAAGACTGGCCAAACTGTTTTCCACAGCAGTTGCACCATTTTACATTCCCACTAGCAATGTATGATGGTTCCAATTCTCTGCATCCTCATCAACATTTGTTATTTTACATTTTTTAGAACTATGGCCAACCTAGTGGATAAAAAACGGCATCTCATTGTGGTTTTGACTTGTATTTCCCTAATGACTAATGATGTTGAGCTTCTTTTCATATGCTTGTTGGCTATTTGCATATCTTCTTTGGAGAAATATCTAAACAAGTGCTTGCCCATTTTTTGAGTGTCTTTTTGTAGTTGAGTTGTAAGAGTTCTTAATATATTCTGGATGCTAGACCAGATGTACAATTTAAAAATATTTTCTCCCACTCTATGAGGTGTCTTTTCACTCTCTTGATAGTGTCCTTGATGCCCAAAAGTTTTTAATTTTAATAAAGCCCACTTTATTTTTCTTTTGTTGCTTATGCTTTTGTGTCATATCTTAAAAAAACAAACAAAAAAAAAACATTGCCAAATCAAAGATCATGAGGGTTTACACCTATGTACTTTTCTAAGACTTTTATAGCCCTTATATTTAGGTCTTTTATCCATGTTGTGCTAATTTTCATATATAGTGTTCTTTGGTATATGGATATCCAGTTATCCCATCACTATTTGTTGAAGAAATTATTATTTTCTTGTAGAATGGTTTTCACACCTTTGTCAAAAATCAATTGACCATAGATGTATAGCTTTATTTCTAAACTCTCAATTCTACATATCTATCCTTATGCCAGTACCACATGTCTTGGTAAGTGTAGCTTTGTAGTAAGTTTTGAAATAGGGAAGTGTGAGTCCTCCAANGTGGTTGGCTCCCATTGTGGGGGCAGAATTTGGGTGGCATTACTGGAAAAAATACGTTGTCAGTGATGACCTACTCCATCCAACAAGTGGAAAAGTTCCGTTTGCAGTTAACAAAAAGGCAACACAGCACGCAGTTCTCCAGAAGAATAACCATTACACAACTCCTCAATTAGAGTCAAAAGTTAGAAGCAGTCTGGCAGTGGCTAAGAAAGAGGTTCTTTTCCACAGTTTGGAGTGTGACTAACCTGAACAGGAAACACTGGAGAGGGCTCAGTACGTAAGTAGCCAGTTCACTGAATTCAGTTTACTGAATTAAACCTGCACTGTTAATCATTCTCTGTGTCCCCAGGATGAAATCTTGGGTGGATCCCACATTTCACATGCATTTTCAAATATTAACAAATGGCCTCATTCTCAGATAGTGCAATGCAAAGCTTCACCTCCCCTTTATGCTTTGAGAGCTAGTTCTGTGCTTGCTTGAGCCTGATCCAGGTTATAAAGCCTACAGTGGGAAGGAGGGCATGGTCATTATTTCTCGATTCCTCTCAGCTCTTAAGACTTATCCCTTTTCGCTATGCTCTTTGATGTCTCCTTCGGGTTGGAAAGCAGGGAAATATATAGAGGTAAAGATTCTTTCCTAAATGAGTTCTTTAGAGATTCTCATCTGTGGGGATACCTAACACGGGCTGTGTTTCCCTGGGCAGGCCACTTCTGATCCCTAACTTTTGGTAGGACATTGCAGATCCTCTTGGTAGGTAGGGATCACTTCATTCCTCCAATTTAGACCCTTCAGTCATGCCCACAACTGGCCCTCAGAATATCACACTTTCCCTCTGACATTACTCTGACTGCAGGGCAGGGCCGAACTCACCTTTGACTTTTTCTGGATGAATCAGTGACCAGTGCCTCTGTCCCTTAAACTCTTTGTCAAATTCTCCAAGTGATTTTCTGACTCAATGCCACTTTTGCCTGGGGTTGGAGGTGACAGCTCTCTCCAAAGGAATTCTCACTACAGGCCTCAGGACCCATCTCCTGGCCTCCACTTACATACCCTGAAGGTAGGTGATGATTTAGGAATCACGAAATCAGTCTCTTCACAATGTAGTTAGTGGCTAATCTCGCAGATTCTGGAACCATCTGACTTCGGAACTCTGCTCTACTATTTATTAGCTATGTGACCCTAGACAAGATACTTACTCTCAGTGTCCTTATGTACAAAGTCCTGAAATCGGTAACAAATAAAAGCAATAGCTACAGCATAGGTTGTTTTAAAATTAAATGCATTAAGTACTTAGAAGAATGCCTAGTCACCAGTAATGAAGCAAACTAACATCATGTGCCTTCCTGATATGACGTGCTGCGAAGTATCCGATATCACCAATGTGGGATTCTTGCCCAAAGCATTTAACCTGAGTCTATTCATGCGAAAACAATCACACAAATCCAAATTGAGGTAGTCTGCAAACAACTGCAGTCTAGATTTTTAAAAGTTATCAAAGTCACATAATACCAAAAAATTTGGATGGGAGAACAGAGCTGGGAACTCTTCCAGATTAAAAGAAACTAAAGAGACATGACAACAAAATGCAATGCATGGGGCCGGCCGAGTGGCGCGATGGTTGAGAGCTCGCTTGGGATGCCAGAGGGCTCCGGTTCGGGTCCCACATATGAGGGCCAGTGACACTGCCCTCCACAGCTAAGATGCNGTTTGAGCCCCACTGAATAAAAACCCCTCAGTAAACCAGTTAGATCAGCATTTCTGAAAGTATGCACTCTGAATTTCAGTTGCCCAAGTTTGCAAAGGGTGAAAGGTTTGGTAATCAAACCGCACATGTGGAAACATTCTTAGAAGCACAATAAAAAATGAAAAGATGTAAGTACTACCATAAATAAACCAGTTTAAATTTGTTTAACTCACTGTTTTATAAATTTATTTGGTCACAGAAACTTTTTTTCCTATGTGATTTCCATTAATATTTTTCAAAATACACGCTTGGAAATTCTGTTCTAAAAAAGGAGGGAAGCCTGGCTATGAGTCTAAAATCAAAGTCAGATTAATGCCAACTGGGCAGTTAATGGAAAGAAACTTGTTTCTTTTGGATTTGGGATTCTTATGGCTTGGGGTTGTGCCTGTCTGTGTCATTACCTCCGGAGCTGCAGGAGTTACACAACTCTTGGCAATGCCATCTACACGGGAATCTATGTGAAGGATGACCCATGAAGTTGTTCCTACCAGTGAGGACCACATGAGAAAATATGTACGTACTTTGTTAAGGGTTTGAAAAACTGGGGAAGGTGTTGGAAAATTGAAAGGAGTAGTAAGTCCTTCTGAGGGTTACAAGCCTTATATCAGAAAATAACTTAAAATTGGAAGGCTGCAAGAGCTAGAAAGTTATCAGTACCATGGCTCCTGAGATGCAGTTTTCACGTCTTTCCAACCCTACACAAGACATCCANAGAGGGCAGTGTCACTGGCCCTCATATGTGGGATCCGAACCGGGGCCCTCTGGCGTCCCAAGCCAGCTCTTAACCAACGCGCCACTTGGCCGGCCTCCATTGTATAGTTTTAACAAGAGTATTGAAAAATGGTGGGGGAGGCTGGTGATGAATTGGAGAGGACCCAATAAAGAAGGTATTAGAATAACTCAAAAGAAGATGATCAGAGCTTAGACTAAACTATTTGTAAGGATAGAGGAGAAGCTGATAGAAATGTATTTGGAGAAATCACATGATGTACCAGCTGATTCCTTATTTAGAATGATGAATGATGAAAGGCAATTAGTTAAACATTAGAGGAGAGATGGCACTGGCCATATTAGAGGGAAAATTGATACAACACAGGGAGTTAAGATAATTAATGATAGACTAACCTTACCAAAAGATTTATCATTTAAGAAATACAGTATTTGGTGCTGTAATTCCACTTATAAATATCCAGTCATAGGAATTATTAAAAATATGCCAGTTATAAAACAGTAATAAGAAACAAAAAAGGCCATGGTTGCAATCCTAAATGCAACCAAGCAAGTTAGCATAACAGAAAAAATATAGGAATATTCAGAGAGATAACCTAAGGCAACAACTAAATCTTGGCAACCTAGTTCAGAAAGAGTATTAAGCAGTTATTAGAATATAACCAAGGAAAAGAACATTTAAAGAGAATAGGGTCAGGCTTTGGGGTTTGTCAATAAATCTTCACTTGCCTTAACAAAAAATAGTCTTGAGGTAGTAAAATGACAAATCACCCCTTATCTTTACTGTCTCATCTCCTGGTTACTCTTCAATCCTTTTTCCCTCCTACTGCCACGCAGACACTTCAAGGGAATTGGTTTTTCCAGCAAGAACTCTCAGCCTGCATCAGACATGATCAGTAATCTGCCATTGATCAAGTTCACCACTCTCCTAAAAAGGCTCTTTGACCTTGATTCTGCAGGTTTCTGACTTTCCTATTAATATTTAATAGTTAATATTTGCAGAGCTTACTATATATCACTATTCTAAATGTCTTTCATACATATTAATTCATTAATCTTTACAACAACCCTATATGTTGCTTTTTTTTTTTTTTTTACAGGTAGCAGATATCAAGAGAGTTAACAATCTCATCTGTGATCAAGACTTTTTTGCCCTTAGGGCTATCAAAATTCCAGTAAAAAAGTTTAGTTCATTGACTGAAACACTTTATCCTCCGAAAGGAAGACAGGCTTCACGTCCTTCATCTGTTCAATACGTTCCAGAACAACAGGAAATCCTGTCACATAATGATTCTCTTTCTTCCAGTGAGTCAGCTGGTAGCTTTTTAAAAGAAGTAGATCGAGACATAGAACAAATAGTAAAATGTACAGACACCAAAAGAGAAAACCTTAACGAGGTGGTGTCTGCCTTAACAGCACAACAAGTACATTTTGAACCGGATAACAAAAACATTCAACGTAAGGATCCTTATTATGGAGCAGACTGGGGAATAGGGTGGTGGACAGCGGTAGTGATAATGTTGATAGTAGGCATAATAACGCCAGTATTTTACTTGTTGTATTATGAAATTTTAGCTAAAGTGGATGTTAGTCACCATTCAACAGTGGATTCTTCACATTTGCATTCAGGAGTCACACCCCCATCACAGCAGAGAGAAATGGACAATGAAATTGCTCCAACTAAAGGAATGCCCTTTGGTCGACAAGATGATTATAAACTACATGGTCATGATTCTCAGTCACCTGCTGCTCAACACAAAACATAGCATTAGCTCATAACAATGTTTGTCATCACAGGTACATCTGGAATGTGGTGAATCAATTATATTCAATAACCACTTCAGAGGCAGAATTTAGGAAGTTTGAAGATGCTTTTGTTTTTCACTTTTGAGCCATCTACGAATGGATGGAGTATAAAACCCCTGCAGTTGCTGGTTATATTGAGAGCAGTAAACCCATATATCTGTTGTAACAATGCTTAAAGCAGAAATGAATTTAAATATGTATCTACTAAGAAGTTTTTAAGTTGGAAAATCCATCATTTTTCTTATTCAAGACTGGTTATGTTTAAATTTTATTTTTTAACTATTTTTGGTTTAAGGCTATTAATGTTAATAAGCAGAATAATGATAGCACCAGATATCTGCAACTGAAGAAAATTTACTACTGTGAACCATCAAAATAGTTGCAAAAAGTTTGATTCTAAAGTTATTTATGATAGCACATACTTAATACTCCATTTTGAAACTTTTTGAAAATAAATTTCGTACATATGCTATGAAAACATAAGTAGGAGCAGAAGTGGAAAAGTAATGTATAAAGTATGTAATAGAGACTAAGATGTAGACTAAATATTATTTTTAAAAGTCCTGAAAATAATGTGTATGGTTGGAAGTTGCCATTTAATCACTAGAACACTGGATTAGGTCAAGACCTAAAAGAAATCTTTGTCTCTTAAAGAAGGCTGCCTCTGCTTCTGTTTTTTAAGTGATTATATTCGCCTCTGATATTTGAAAGCACTTTTGTAATTCTTGATGAAAAGTGTTATACATGTACAGATTAGCATTATTGAGACAGTAATACTGTGATAAGCTGTTATGTTACACGTGGTAACATGCCTTAATTGCATTTAATGCCTTATATGTAATCTCAGTTTTAGAATTAAAGTTAGGAATTATTTCAAATGCTTCAGTTGGATTCATAACAGGCTGTATAAATTTATCTCCACCTTCACTATCAAGCACAAATTAATGGGGTCAAATTTTCATTGCCTCTGAGGTCTGTTGCAGAATATGGTTCATTAAGCAAAAGCAGGAATATAGAGACCTTTTGCATTAGCAAGAACAGGCACATTGCTGTTTTTAATTGAATCCTTAACCTCTCTTTTTCAAAGAGAAAGTGTCCAACAAACCTTTTTTTCCCCTGAATTAGAGCATAAAATTGGGGACAGAGGCCAAAGATGTATGGATTGGTCGAAAGGGCTTGATAGTGCCACTTTTTAAGACCTATGGATCTGCTAGATAAGCATTTGCATATTGATCCCATCATTTAATTTTTAATATGTTTTTAAAAATGTAACCAAAATGATTCATTAGAAGCAAAATTTGGTACAGTCTGGTTTGCATTTTTATGTATAATAAAGTGTGTACCCTAAGATCCATAATACCACCTAATTTTCTGGGCATTATTTCCTAATTTTAATGTTTCAATTTTTGACCAATCATTTGTATTTCAGGCTCCAAGCTTGATAGAGTGTGGGGTGAATGTACCTTCAGTAGCAAAGTTTCCTAAAATGACAGGACAGAGAAGTCAAACATTAAAACCTCTGCATATATTGGAGGAACTTGGACAATTACCAAAAAGTGTTAATATGGAAGTTGCAGCAAATTGATTTTTGAGTAACTTTTAGTTTAAAATTTAAAACATTGTTTTAATGTGCCTTGGGCATCTTGAAAAGAGGAATATGATCTCTCTAATTTATGCTCAGTGTTAACTTGGTCAGTTTACATTGTATTTATTACGCCTGCTGAAAAATCAAGTTTTAGCGAAGAAAATACAGATTATTCTAGGGTAGAATGGGCTGTATGGCCTTTGAAGAACTTTGTTTACATCAAATTGATGAAATTATGGAAAGCAGTGATTCCTTTTTGCTAGTGGTACTTTGAAATTGTGATAGAGGTCTGATTTCCAGGATATGTAACTTATTTTTAAAGTAGTGAGGTGTACTATGTACTTGCTGATTAAAAACCATTTCTGTCTTGGAGGATGTCCTATTCCTTGAAGGAAATATTACATCCTTATACACAGGCAGTTTCCTTGTTTTGTATATTTGAATTACACATTTTAATTGAATATAATTTGAATTATATATAATTCTATATGTTATATATAGAATTAGATTCTAGTCATTTTTAAAAGAAAAAAATTCCTAAGCATTTAATAGATACAGAATAATTTTAGCTTTTGAAAAGTACTAATATACATCAAAATTTGTAGCAAATGCAGGTTACTTTGTAAAACTTAATAAAATAAATGTGATTGACATTGTGAATTTTAATTGTATCAAAACCCTTATTTAAAACTTTGAGGCTTCACATTAGAAGATAAATATATGTATAATATACATAAAAGTAACAACTGTATATGATTCATTATATTTTGTTCACTTAAAAAATTGGAGTTGTGAAGAAAACTCAGCTATTTTTAGGGGTTTTTTTTAAGTCTGGGTACAATGGTTAAGGTTGTTTTTAACTAATGGATGCCATTTAATATATACTGATTATAGTCTGCTGGCCACATAAAGAATTAGAAGACTGTAATGTTAAATTAACTTCTCCAGAGGCCTTGTTTCTTAAAGGTTTTCTTTTTCTGGACTCTACTTGCTGTTTAGTGGCCTGAAGAGTTTTTTAAATAAACCACTACTTAGTAATTGGTTCTTTTTAAAGATATCTACTTCTGAAATTACCTACTTGGGAATATGAAGGATACAGTTAGTTTTAGAAATATGAAGCAAGGATCCAGTCAGTGTTGTAGGGTAAAAGTGGAGTTTTTAGAAGTATTTATTTAAATGGTGCATTATGATGGAAATCATTCTTATTTTGAATTACAACAATATTGCTCAGGAAGTAAGTATTTTTTTCCAAGTATGTGCATATTGCACTGTTAGATCATAGAAATATCTGCATTATATAATTCTTTTTACATGCAAATACTATAAAGCTTTTGTATAATGTATTTTATACGAATGCAGAATGGAATTGTAGAACATTGTTAGCATGTACATCTGTAAAACTGGTTTTTAAAACTTTTTGCCCCTTATATTTTAAAAGATCTTCAGAATGAAATAAAGTTTCTATTTTATTATTCAATCTAAAATGGAAGCTGGTGAATTTAATTGAATAAAGTAAAACCTTTTCTTTCAAATTATTTGATATATACTATGTTAAGATAGATCAAATTGTCATCCCCCTTGTTATGCTGAAACAAAATTCACTGGATTATTTATAGGATGAAATGGAATAAAAACTAATTTCAGATGAATGTTCTTTGGGGGATCTTGGATCTCATGGAAGAAGACCTTATAAGGCAAGGTCCCAGTCTTAGCAAGTTGTGGATCAGTCATAGAACAATATGCTCTATTTATATGTAAATTTTATTATAAAACATTTCTTCCAGAATATTCATTTTCAAACATTACCTACTGTAGCAAAAAAGAAAGTTATTTGGAGCTTTTATTTAATGGAGGAATTTATAGTGTAATTTTTTTTTTCATTTTTAAAGTCACCTTGATCTCAAAATTGTGATTTTTTTTTAATACAGTTTTTACTACAGAGCTTTTAACCATACATAGTAAGACAAACCTTGACACTTTTTAAAGATTTTTTATTGGGGTAGTGGGGGGAAGGGAACAGTGCTGGGGAATTGGGGGAAGGGGAACAGACAAATTGCTTTCGTTTTGTTCTTCAGTCTAGTTGTGAAGGACGTTGCTTCACTGACCCAAGTTGGCACCATCATTGCGCTCTTCCCGGGCGAGGCAGATCAGTCGCCGGCTTCTGGACGGCCGCTCACGCTGGCTGCTGGCTACATATGGTAGCCCATGGCAACCTACTGCCACAGGGGCTGCAGCCTACGCCGTCGCCGGCGACTCAGGGCAGCCCAGCTCCAGGTTGAGCTGTTGTTCAGCATCTTAGCTGAAGAGGGCAGTGTCACTGGCCCTCATATGTGGGATCCGAACCAGGGCCCTCTGGCGTCCCAAGCCAGTTCTTAACCATCGCGCCACTCGGCCGGCCCAAACCTTGACACTTTTGAGGTAGTGGGGAAAGAAAGATGAGCATCCTCTGAATTTGTTAGCATTCTCTAGTATCCAGTGTCAGTCCATGATACCAATGATCCCAATAATATTATACTGTGTGCCAAATCTCTTTATCACTTGAACCACCTAGAGTTTTGTTAGTGGTGGTGGTAGTTCAAGAGTATTTGATACGGGCATCGCTGCTTAGTACAGTTATTTTACCAGGTAAAATCTGCATTAGTTTCTCTAATATATTTAAGTAGGTTCAAAGTAAAACATCTTACAACAGGACACAATTTTGTAAGAACTTAATGTGTAAACAATACAAAAATAAGCATCATAGCAACAAAACAGTCTTGCTTGTTATATAGCAATTTTAAAGACACTTCACCAACAAATACTTTTTTATATATAAGAGATTATCTTTGCATTAAAGTTTACCTTCCCATGGAATAACTTCAGTCTCTGAGATTGTAAGCCACAAAAACAAGATTCATGCTGGCACAAGCAACCTGCAAATACTTCTTGTCTGTTCTCACAATTAGTCTAAAGTTGTAGAGATTTTCCAAAGGGGAAGACGGTGCACTTAGGGAGATGGCTGGGGCTTCCCAGAGCAAATCCCTGCCCAAATGGCTGTCTTACCATCTTGCAGGACTAAAACGGTGGAGACAGACTGAAAGCTAGGAAAAAAAAAAAACCTATATCTTTGGTCTATCTGCCCTTTTCAAGCAATTATCAGATTTCCAATAAGGCAAGTAAACAACCACAGAAATAAGACATAAATGGTATTTGGCTAATAAGAAGGTGAGAGCATAAAACAGCTATGTTAATTATCAATCCTCGATGACTATTTGCTCACTACAACCCAAACTTTAAGTGAGGTTTTCACTCTAAGTACAGTAGATTGCTGCTTTAAAGTAGACCTATTCATGTTTTCCATTTTGAATTGTAAAAATTTTTATAAGCTCCTTTAAACAAATAATTCACGTATGATCAACATAACACTGAACTATTACAATTTTAAGTGATCTTTGTTCCTGAGAAAGCCATGTTATAAAATGGCTAAAGACTAAATCTTGTATTCCCACCAGAATACAAGATGGGAAATTGGATTACAAATAATTTTCTGAGGAAAACATGTTTCTCAAAATAGTGTTTTTGATCCCTTTACAAGCTACAGTTTTTTAGAGGACGAGACCAAATTTAAATTGTGTGATCATTGTTATATGCTAAGAGAATGAATACATACAGTAGTAAATTTAGGTTGGTATTTAAACAATTTTTATAGGAAATGGTTTACAAGTGAAGAAATTAAGGCCCCCCCAAAAAACTTAACCAAGCTCAATTTCAAGGTTGAGTTTAACAGTAAAGGTAGAAATAGAATCTGTGGTTCTTGTTCTTAGGTTAGGAGGTAACAGGTGATACTGTCCCAAAAGGGAAAAATAAATTTATTTCTTTTGGTGAATATTAATAAATCATTTTTTGGAATATATGAATTCCCTTCCAAATCTTTGGTTATTTGTGAGTCTTTAGAGGCTAAATTTTTAGGTACCTCCCCCCCACAAATATAAAAAGTCAGGGAAGCTAGTTTTTAATTAAAAAAGAAAAGATTAATCTTAATTTCAGAACGACCTGAGTTTAATTCTGCACTGTTATATAAATCAACTGGATAGTGATGAGTCTTTGAAATATAATAGAGGCCATTACACCTTACAGATTTCACACATGTATTCGTCAGTGAGATTTATATAATTAGAACTTACTCCACCTTTTGTAAAGTATAAATTTAAATCAGATGTCTCAGTCTAATTTTTCATAAGCCCAACTATTTGAAGGTACAAACTTATTATGGTGGAATGATGATTAACTCATATATTGTATAGTATGAATGAAGTTAGCCCCCAATTCAAGTATTTTTAATATTCATCTCAGGTTTTTGTACTGGCTGAGATGTGAGCTGTGAAATTTACATAGCTCCAATTGGCATCTTTCCCTGTGTGTGTGTGTTTTCAATCACAAAACTTCCAATCTCATATGTACTTGTAAGAGCTCAGGTAGATTTATGTAGTCATAATGTAGTAGCACAGAACATACCATGTAAAAGCTAAAAAGTAAAATTATTTTCAAGTTTCTTCATTTTTAAAGTGCTGCATGTGCAGTATTAAATCAGCTTTCAGATTACAGAAATCCATTGTGATGACTAGTGATAGTTTTACAAAAGATCAGCAGTTAAACAATAATCTGTTCAAGTATGAATACATACATTAAAAGATGCAAAAACTCTTTAGGCACATTCTAATCCAAATAATACCCTCCCAAAAAACAAAATTTGCTTGAATACTTAACAGGGTAACAGGTGTTGAGAAGGAATGTCAGAATGTCAGAGACTAACTGGTAAGATAAGTGGTATGTAAACTCAAAGTGGTTCTGAATATTTTGGTAACAAATGTTTGTCCAACAAAACAGGAACAAAAATAAAATACTTACTCATTCCTTATCAGAAATAGGAAAGAAGTCTATCCAAATGTTCCGAAGCCGTGTCATAAAAATGTTTTTTTGAGAAATGTCATAGCTAGTAAGTTGCTTCATCCATGTTGTCGTCACTGCCTGCACCAAAATCATCTCCATCTTCAAAGTATGAATTTATGTAGTCATTTTCCTAAGAGAAATGATACAATGCTCAGTAAATATCAAAATGAATAAGCAGTAACATGATTATTAAGGAACAATGTTGTCCCTCTAAGTTTATAAATACCAAATTTAGGTAATAAAATACACCAGGCTTAAAAAAAAGTCTGTTATGTCTAATGCTTAGAAAACACATTAGCTTTCACTCACATCTATCTACCTGTGCTTTTTTCCCCAAGAGCACCACTCGCTCCTATTCTCTGTCACCAACTAGTTAAGAGAACACAAAGGGATGCCTATTACAAGAGACATCTAATTCATTACATCTTAGTGGGCTGATACATGGTTTAGCTAAACCACTGAACACTTACTCCAAAAAAATGAACACTTGATAAATAAAGCCAATTTACCTCAACGTTAGATTAATCCAGAACTAAGGTTTTCAGTCACAATGCACAACAAGCATAAGTAGAGATATGTTTGCTTCCTATCAAAAAAAGGCCTCAAGATACCAAATCAAACCTAGAGAATGCCGTATTACATTCCATCCAGGGCCCCTCAATTTCCTTGAGGTTAAGGGGTTAAGCTCCTGAGACTATTCCAATTCTTATGGCAAAGTAAGACTATTATTCATGTAAATGACTCCAGATATCTGTGCTTTCTATCAAAAATTTAACCCATTTTAGATATTGATTAAAAGAAATTTAAGAGCATTATGAACTAACATCAGTGTATGGGCTATATTTGGATTCTGATTGGAACAAATTTTTTTGAGACAAATGAAAAAATTTGAACACTGGCTTAATATTTGATGATATTAAGGAATTATATTTCATTATGTTAAGTATAATAATGACATTGTGATGTTGTTAAAGAACCCTCATTTTTGAGTACCTATGGATGAAATGATACAATACTTAGGCTTTGCTTTACAATAATCCAAGGAAGTGAGGGGAAAGAAGTGGATTGGCTAAACGAGTGAGTGATTACATGATTGGCTATGGATTGATCATTGTTAAAGATGAGTGATAAGTCTATGGGTGTTTCATAGTCACAAGATTTTTGTACATGATTGAAATTAGCCACAATAACCTCCACATCTCTACTATCTACAGCAGGAATTATGATAGAGTAACAAATAGAGGTGATTTCCAAAAGAAAGTCTCCTGGATGTCAGTTTATTTAATGCATGGTGGGATTATACATATAAATTTATATAACTAAAGCAAGAAAGGTAACATATTATTCAGATAACTCTTTCATTACTTTGTCTTCCCTAAACAATAAGTTTCTGTATCCAGCTAAGACCCTTACCATTTCCAGGAAGTTGGCCTGGCTTCTCTGGTGCCAAGAAATCCAACAATGTCCGGAAACCAGCTGAAGCCTGAGGCCGATGTACAGGGGGGGCACGGTATGGCTGAGAGTTCAGCTGAAGCCACTGTATAAATGAGATCTTGGCAAGGACACTTATGTGGGAAGATAAGCAAGCCATTTTGTACATAAAAGTGGCAATGAGTAAGGAAGGGATGGATTCTCTACTGTTCCAAGCTAAGCATGTGCCACTTGTGTTTTGGACACAAGCACCTCCAAGTATGTTCAGTGATTCACATTAGGTAATTTTATGATGCTAGTAATGTTGATACAGGTATAAAGTGGGAACCTGTTCAAACAGATGGCTGAAATGGTTCTTGGGTTTCGTTTGAGCCTTCGCTTTTTTCTTTAATTACAGTATTCAAAAGATTGAGTAACGAAGAAAAAAGTCTGTATTTCCTCAGTTTACATACGTAGTATTACATATAGATAATATGCTCCATTTTATTCTTCAATATAAAATGCTTATCAAATCCTCAGTACTTCAGGTAAGTTAATAAGCATGAATTTTTCATTAATTAATTGCTAAAAAAGAGCAAAGAAGGTAACTTTAATAGACAGCCTTTAACTGAACTCCTGTTTCCATCCTTCACCTGGCCTCCCACTCAGAACATATATCTATTAAACTGGAAAGTACTTTGTTTCCTGATGTTTGCTGTCCTCGTTAGGGAAGATCTTAATTTCAACACACCTCAAATCAAACAGATTATAAAAAACATTCCAAAAGCCAATATTGTCTAGAGTAATGGTCAATGCCCACTCAAAGCTAATAGCATGCCACCATCATCAAGGCCAATTGTGACAACCAAAAATGGCTCCAGACATTACCAAATATCCTTTGGAGGGCAAAATCACCAATCGAGAACCTCTGGTTTATAGTAACAAGTTTTCAAACATGATCCAACCCTGGCTCCTTCCAATCCAGGCAACTGACCTTGGATGATCATACTATCCCACTGCTTAAAACTCTTCAATGGCTCCCCAAAGCACTTAGGATAAAGCCACATTTCTCAGTCTGGCATTCAAGACCCTTCATTCATCTCTTCACGTACCCCACTTACACTCTCTAGTACAGCCATATTGCTTTATCTGGTCAACTATACTCTTATGCCACTCTCATCACCACCAAGCCTTCTCCATGTTTTTTCCTCTATCTGGGAGTCTCCTCCACTCCATTTCTCATCTTGATCTGATCTGATTAACTCCAGATCTCATAAATTGTCTTTTTAAAGGTATTTCCTTTGACATCCCTAAAATGGAGTTTGGTGCCTCTCTTACATGTTCCTATAGCATCCTGCACTACTACATCATAGCATTATTCACGGTATCATAACTGTCTCCATTCTTGTCTGCCTCCAACTAGACCTAAGTCCTGAGGGGAGCTGTATCTTGATATTCCCCTTGCCTTGTATAATTCCAATCATACACTTAGTGTACAATCACTCCAGGGTGAATGAAAAAGAATTGAGCATTATAGTCCTAAGTTTATAGGGTAACTAAAACTTTGGATAAGGATTCAATCAATCAGAGAGATTGTAGAGACAAAAAGAAGACCAAGGGAAGAACTCTGAAGAATACTGACATTTAAAGACTAAAAAGAAGAACTCGAAAGAGATCATGAAAAGGTACCAGAAGTAGAAGAAAAACAAGAAGAGTCATAAAAACCAAGAGAAGCAACCATGTTTGTCTACATGTTGGCACCCAGCACAACGCCTGGAAGATAGTAGATGCCTATAAATTGCCTTAAATTGTTAATGTAAATAAAGGAAACATTTTAATAATGAAGCTGTGAGCAATGATAAGTGTTGCAGAAAAGCCAAGTGAAACAAAGACTAAACTTTATCTGCTGATGAATTTGGTGGCAATTTTAGTTAACGTAGGTACAGATCAGATTAAAATGAGCTAAAAAGGAGGAACGGGAGAAGTGAGCAAGTGATGACAGCTAATGAGCTCTCCAAGAGATAGTAGGAGAGTGCAGGAGGAATATGGGGAACAGATTTTACAATGGGAGATGAACATGTTTAATGCATAAACAGATGAGATGGGTAGAAACAAAGGTTGAAAATTTGTAAAGGGAAATGATATGAGGATTATTGTTCCCAAAACGGGCAGAACAATGAGTTTCAAATAGGATAAAGGACATTTCTTCCACGGATAAAAAAAAAGAGGAAAGGGAAGACATTTAGTTTGAAGGCAGAGGACATGAAACTAAGGGGTTTTTTCTTGAAGGCTCTATTTTCTAGATGAAGGTGCTATTATCTGCTAAAAGTGAAAGGAAAGGTAGTCAAGGAGAGGGACTAAAAAGAAAAGATAACCTGAAATACTTGCTATGGAGACCTAACTTGACAAAAGAAACAGGAAAGATATTAGCCAGCAAAATGGGGCTTCTGTTTTTTTAGTGGCATCAGTTTTTGTGATTCCTCAGAAAAACTCAACAGGCAGGTTTGGAGGGGAAAAGAGGGAGACAATGGGACTAATCAAAGGTTGACTAGGTCTAGAGTATGTTCCAGGAGACCAAGGGACAAAGGCAATGGCAAGAATGAAGTCGAAGGGTGAGCAAGGATCAGGGCTCCTAGGGAAGGGAATTAAGACAGGAACCAATAAAGTGGAAATAGAGGATCAGAGGGTCTAGCAGGCTGAATCATGTCAAGTACAGGAATAAAACAAGTGAACGATCTGGAAAATAAAACTGGAGACAAATGTGATATGTTTAATTTTAAAATGTTTAGAGTTAAAATTTATTTGGAAGAATAAACAGAATACTCAGGAAAATCCTGAAAAAGAAGGGTAATATGCCCTAAAATCAATAACAAATAATCAGATGTGTCTATTCATTGGAACAGCTTAGTGATGGTTCAGAAATAGATCAATGGATCAGAGTCCAGAAATACCTCTAAATAGATATGGAAATCTAACAGTTGATAAAAGGGAATTTCAAATCTATGCAGAAAGCCAATTATGTAATAAATGGGGCTAACAGCTGCCTAGCCATTTGGAAACAGATAAAAACGGGTCTGTATCTCTCCCTTTATACCAATATAAATTGCAAAAGAATCTGACATTTAATGCAAAAGAATTAACGCATATAATAAAGGTTTCATAGCTGGAGCAGTTTCAGGTGAAGAAAGATTCAGAGTGTGGTGTGAGAAGCTGAAACGGAGTGAAGACAAATGTCACTGGAATGGAGAATAAACTCAGCTGAGGGTATACACAAGGTGTCTACAAAGTCCCAAGAGGACCAACAAAATTACTGTGCTCAATCATAATTTTGATCAACTCCAGCTTATTTTGAAATGCACCGTTTCTAAAAGTTGGAAATCCAAAATCAAAAACACTGAGCCCTGATCATTCAGACATTTGAGGATGGATAATAAATGTTCGGGTCGTGTCCACATGCACTTCAGGATTTGAAACACGATGTGTTGCAGGGATCCCCCCTCAGACCTACATGACTAAGCCCTTAATGACTGACTTAAAATTTTATGTCCATAAATCTTAATTAATGTGATCAACTTCCTTAACTTGTGGATTTCCACTTACAAAGTTGCCTATCAAGTTACTGTTCCCTCCTGTATTCAATTTGGCGTCATTATAACTTCAATGCTATAATAATTCTCTTGATACAGAGGACTTACGCCAATGATAACAATATGCCCTCGGTTCCCATTAAGTTAGTTTTTGTTTGTTTATTCATTTTAATCTACACCAAATATCTGATTCCTCATTAGATAATCCTTAAGCTTAGTAACTTTGTTACCCTTCCAAAATAGACCGTTACCTCTTCTTGCTCTTCTTCGTCATATTCCTCTTGTTCTGCACCATCATCTTCCTCATCGTCATCACCTTCTTTACTTTTCTCTTTGCTTCCTTCTTTCTCTTCATTTTCCTCATCCGATTTTTCACCATCACTTCTCTTTTCCAATTCCTGGTATAAGTGAGCTTCATTAACTTATATGGAAACCACTAGACTTTGACTTCCCTGCTCAGCCTCACGAGAACACAGAACCCTATCACCTCATTCAGTTCGTCCCTGACCAACACCTCCAGACCATCACATACGAAATTTTGAGCTAACTCAAGAAAGGAGGAATTCGTTGTCCTATTTTGACACTAGTATTTTCTTTGATTTTGTTACTTCATAATTGAGTCTCAGGTAATGCTGGGGTACCAGCTCAGTGCTTTATTTTTATGATTTCTATCCTACCTCCTTCTAAAATATTGAATTGATTCAGTGTATGGAGAAGAACTTTCCTAGTGGTGTTTTGTTTTCCTCCTAAACATAAAAGGAGAAAAGAGACTGTAATGGCACTATTTCAAAATGTCTACGTTTTATCAGTGGAATTTTGTCAGTTTGTCAGTGGAATTATTTAAAACAGTATCAAGTCATATTGGGGTGAATTATCCTATTTACAGATTATCCTGTCCTTGTTTCTTTTCTCTCTCATTATTTACTTCCCATTTCCAGGAATTCTGCATGTTAACATACCAGGCAGATTGAGAAAAAAGAAAGATTAAAACTCAAACCACAGTCAACATTAGCACTTATTAACAACTCTACGAAAGGAGGCAAAGGAGAGATGCAGCATTAGAAAAGCTTTGATTGCCTGATGGTTCTACTTATTTACCCTGTCAAATTCACTACACTACCTCCTCATAACACACAGGCTTAACTTTAATACATCTTTACATTCCTATTATGACTACCAACAATATTTTTCATTTGATAAAAAGTGACCTGTTTTCATTGCTGTCACTATTCATTCACTAAATTGTTCTGCACTTAATTTGCACAGGTGATAGAATTTCACAAGTTTTCTAGGAAGTGGGTGCAGCAATAATTCCACATATTAATATTCATAATTAAGGCATCAGATCACTTTGGCTAAGATGTGAATATCTTTAAATAGTAATCAAAACACTAATTCATAAATCTGCAAATACTCCATCCTATTATAAGATATTTGCTTTGTAGATTACATATAGAGATGAAACACATTTTATATTTGGAGTGACTACAATTTAGCTATTACTTTATTGGTTCTAAAATATTTATTTCTAAAAATTCCTTTAACTACATTCAAATTTGAATTTAAGGAAATCAAAATAAAAAGACTATATCAGATAAGCTCAGTTTCTAATCAAAATTCAAATGCCACTTTTCCTCTCACCACCTCACCCTACTCAGGCAGAACAAACGCAACCAAGAAAATTATCTTCATACTGTCCCCAAGCTGCCTTATATGAGTATTACTATAATATAATGAATGCAATTTTTCCAACTGGTAATCCCTTTGGAAAACTACAAGTAAACAAACAGTGTTTATAGATCTTTTGAAGTGTTAGAAATGCACACATACGCACACACAATGCTGTTATGTTAATGCTAATTAATATATAGATCTTTTTCCTTTTCTATTTTAATCAAACCATAGTAAAAAAGGCCATAAGTTTGGGTAGTTAAAAGGGAACTGTAGTGCTACATTTATTCAACTCTGTGCAACGTATACTCTTTTATCTGAAAATTCATGCTCTTAGCTATTATTTCATAATTAACAATGGAATTATTTAAACCAGCTATGTTAAAATATTTTTTAAATATAGAATTCATTCCATGCTACACAGGGACTAGGAAGTTTTCATTCCCATTTTGTCATCTCAAATACTACTAAATAAATAACCTCAAGTTTATTTCTACCACATAAACCTAAATCAAACCCATAAAATATCTAATCAGTTAACAAATTTAAAAAAATGATCTCAGAGCCACACACACTGTCTCATTACTTCATTCCTTTTTGTGTTAAGCTACTAGTTTGGTTCACCTACTTAGTAGTCTCCATTTTCTTTTCTGTAAGAGTAACTATTTACCCATACTACGTTACATATTTGTGTGTTTTAAGAATAATGTGAATAAGCCGTCCAGATGGCTCAGTGGATAGAGCATGAGCGCTTAACAGCAAGATTGCCGGTTCAACTACCGCATAAAAAAATTTTTTTTTTAAAGAATAATGTGAATAATATAATAAGAAAATACTTTAAAAACAGTCAGTTTATGGACAAGGAACAGTTCTATTAGGTTGTTGGAAAAGTCATGACGTATTTTTCTATTTTTTCGTTGCAAAAATGCGTCATGACTTTTCCAACAACCCAATAGTTTAACTACTATATGGTCACCCTATTATAGAGAGAGCCTCCTGTATGTCACATAGAAATAGGAAGCTCAAATATTAGTTGACTGCTATCTGGTTCTTCACACATTAATTTTGAGATTTGAGTGTATGTCACTCCCTATCCATCCACAGTTTTACAATAAAATGTGCACCTGCTTTTGCTGAAGAATGAACAATAGCAGAGTCATCTGGAAGCTAATTTTGCTCTATTAAAACTGCTAACTCATTGAGATTTCTAGATTTAAAACTCCAGTTTTAACAATGTTTATACTAAAAAGGGTGTTTATATGTAGGGAATAAGGAAACAAATTTGTTCTGATGAGAAAGCACATTCAGGCGTCCAGATCAATCTTCCTTACAGCACATGTCATCTTACCGACTTCTTTCCAGGAAGCTTTAAGAACAGTCAGAAACTGTGATCAGTCAATACAAATTGGCTAGGTCTGCAAGCCTATCCATCATTCCACCAGCTAAACCTGACAGTTAACACTATTCCTTCAATAACTCTCTTGGCTTTATTTTTAGACACGTTATCTCCAGCTCAAGTACTGGTCAAAAAATAAAACAACAAAAATATGAGTTTCTGTTACCACATAACTGTGCCAAATTGGCCAGGCAAGTAAAAGTTTTAAAGCTTTGACTTCCTCATCTGTAAGTAAGGAATAATTATACCTATCTCTCTTTGTTGTACTGGAGTATTAAGCACAGAATGAATGTAAATAGTTCATCAAAGAACCTGGTAAATAGTAAGTTCTCAATAAGAACTAGCTGCTATCATCATCATCATCATCACCACCAATGCAATAATAGTAGGAATAAACTGTATACCCTCCACGGAGAGTGATCTGTTAATATTTATCCATATTATATAATACATATAACAACTGTCCCAACAAATCCACTTCTAGAAATCTTAGAAATCTACCCTACGTGTGGGAAATGACATACTTAACATGAAATCATAGCAGCATTGTTTATAATAGTGAAACACTAGATGAAATATAACGTCCACCTGTAGGGTATTGATCAAATTAAATTATGGTTCATTGTTACAGTGCAGCTAAAAAAAAAGAAAAGAAAGAATGAGGCAACTCTATACAGACTGACTTTGAACCGTTTCCAAAATATTTTAAGTGATAAAATGAAAATGCAAAAGAGTATACATGCTACTTTTGTCATTTAAACAAACAAACAAAATAATCTGTATTTCCTATGCACAAAATATTTCTGGATGGTCATATAAAAAACTGGTAACATTGGTTGTCTACAGGAAGGGAAGTAGATGGCTAGGGACCAGAATGGGAGAACAAATTTTCAGTTTATTAACATCTTGAATTTTACATCTTTTTGGTTTTGAAATGTTAAAAATAAGAAGATTTAAAAATGAGCTCCATAAGATACAGTTTTCCCTCAATAGAATCTTCTGCACTTAACATGAGACAGAAAAATAAAAAGCATTAAGAAAGTACATATATAACAATAGGAGAAAAACTGAGAGGTTTTTAGAAGAAATACGTTTTAGGTATGTAACTCTTTCATGCTTCTTTCCCACACATAATTCAAATGCAAGGGGAAAATAAAGAGAGTGGAAAAGGAATCAGGTGATAGGAGGTGAGGCAAGCTGACAGGTGAGTGGGAGAGAAGGAAAGGATGGAACCCCCATATCTCCCAGCCAAAAACGTTCAATCCAGTTACCTGTGTGCTGGGCTCGGTTCTGCCAAAGCCAGGTTATTAAAAAGAGAGAAGGCGGAGAGGCTGAAGAAAACAAAAGGAGGTACGACATATTTTCAGTTTGCTCTTATAAGAAGAAGAAAACCTTACCTCGATCTTTTTCAATACATCAGCAGTATTAGTGAGTGAAGTGTCTTTGTTGGTATCTTTTGCCTTTTTGAGTTTTGGGCCTGCTGAAGTAAAACCACTGTTAACACATTTTCCTATAATAGCAACTGTGCATTATATTTCTTTGCCTTTTAATATGCTATCTAGCATAGTGATATGTCATACCAGGCAGTCACATAATTTGCAGACTGAATTAATTTTCTTAAAGAAGAAGCAAAATAAATCAGCACATCTTATCAATTTTCAGTGATGAGGAGTAAATGATAATCACTGAATAGGATATTTTTTAAGACTGCAACCAGGTATCTTTAATTTAGAGTACTGAAAATCTGTACTGGCAATTAATGCCATTCAGGCCAAAATGGTTACCTCTGGTAGAATCACTACAGGACCAGTGAAAAGCTCTCACAAATGATCATTGGCACTGGCTTCCTGTTCACTGATCTGGACACTTTATTTTAACTGGGGAAATTTTACCAGTTTTGGAAAATTTAAAAAAAGTGCAAAATAACTATGCATTTGCCAATGGTTAAAGAGATGAAAAAGAGGTATATTCCGTGCTCCACAACATTTGAAATGAAGATTAAAATGGTTAAAATGAACACACCCAATGTATGAGTCTGGAAACTCAAAGCAATATGATAAATACAATGTTTTAATGGCCTTGTGGTAAGTTTTTAAGCCCTATTAAAAATATGACATGTTGAGGCTATTCTTAAACTGCAGGGACTAGAAAATTATTCCACATATAGATTATGCCAATCAGTTACCAAAAGCATAATGATATGTTACAAAATTGTCCCTTCATGATACAAAAAAATGTATTATAGTTCTTTCTTCAAATCAAACTAAAGACATACAAATTACTTGGTAACAGAAGAAAACGCGGCTCAGAAAGATGAAAGATGTAATTTTGTTAAAGACTAACATTTAAACTACAGGAGACATTTTTAGATTGTGGTGGATGACCCATAACTAATGGAATTATAATTTATTGTGTTATTCCAAATTGCCCCTTGGGGAGTCACCAAGCTCAGAGCTCCCAAACATATATTAGTGAGGTTTTACTCAAACAAAACTAATGGTTAGGTTTAATGATGGGTAACTTTCTCTGGACCCCTTGAGGGCAAAGACTGTTTAATTTGAACTGCAGCACATAAAATACTATACTAACATAAATGAACAAGATCTCAATATATTTTATAATATTGATGCCAGATAACATTAGCTAAGAATGTAATTTACTCACACCATTAAGTCTTTTTCTCTAAGGATCTTTTACCAAATTATTTAATTTTTAAAAGACATAAGTCTGTTAAGTGGATATTTTAGAACACAGTCAGGTAAATAAACATATTAAAATTTACTAATCTCTTATCCAAGAAAGTAAGTTGCATATTCAAGTCCACTCAGCATCCTTTGCTGCTTATCATTTTGGTTTTATATGCCTAATCCTTCTATGTATGTATAACTGAGAGAGAAGTGGCAACTTACCAAAATTTGTTAAAAAACTATTTAAATCCCAAAACATTAACATGAATTATTTTTCCATCTTTGGCCTAATATATGCATATATTTGAATTTTTGTTTCTTTTAACACTTGCCAGGAGGTGGTTCTCCAAGAAACAAACTTTTCAGCCTTTGGTTCTTT